TCCTCCTCCTCCTCCTCCTCCTCCTCCTCCTCTTGGAGCTCCACTCGGGCCGTGGAGGGGTCATTCGCTCCCCGCTGTCTGCGTTCAGCGGACGGGGGGAGATGACCGGGAACCCGTGCACCCGCAGGCTGGCCCGCCGCTCCCGCTCCGCCCTGCTGCTCTGCGCCCTGGTGGTCCTGCTGCTCCAGACCCTCGTCGTGTGGAACTTCAGCAGCCTGGACCCCGGAGGAGGGGGGCACGGAGGCGCCAGGAGCCGGGAGAAGAGAGAGGATCGGACCGGGGGTCTGAACAAAGAGCCCCCGCGGAGGGGCTCACAGAGGAGGGGGCAGCAGGCGGCCGTGCGGCACCAGCTGCAGGCGGTGAGTCCGGACCATCAGGTTCTACAGCTGCTGGGGTTCGGCTCGGCTCGGTTCTGTCGGACAGGGATTTAAATCTGAGGCTGATGAGACACGAGCTCAGCATCCGAACAAAAACCTGCAGGGTCCATCCGGTGGTTCTGAAGAACCGGAACAAGATGATTTAAAGCTTTTATTCTGAAATGTTCAAATAACCTCAAACATTTTATTTTGAAAGGTCAGCATTTATGACCTCAGCATCTTTAAGTTTTATTTTAATCTTTAGTTTGTGATTTTACAAAATCTGTAAAGTTCTGAACACATGGAGCTCCAGGTCCAGATGTTCTGTTGTGGGTCCAGATGTTCTGTGGTGTGGGTCCAGATGTTCTGGTGTGGGTCCAGATGTTCTGGTGTGGGTCCAGATGTTCTTTGGTGTTGGTCCAGATGTTCTGGTGTTGGTCCAGATGTTCTGTGGTGTTGGTCCAGATGTTCTGGTGTTGGGTCCAAATGTTCTGTGGTGTTGGTCCAGATGTTCTAGAGTTGGTCCAGATGTTCTGTGGTGTTGGTCCAGATGTTCTGGTGTTGGGTCCAGATGTTCTGTGGTGTTGGGTCCAGATGTTCTGGTGTTGGGTCCAGATGTTCTGGTATTGGGTCCAGATGTTCTGTGGTGTGGGTCCAGATGTTCTTTGGTGTTGGTCCAGATGTTCTGGTGTTGGTCCAGATGTTCTGTGGTGTTGGTCCAGATGTTCTGGTGTTGGGTCCAAATGTTCTGGTGTGGGTCCAGATGTTCTGGTGTTGGGTCCAAATGTTCTGGTGTTGGGTCCAGATGTTCTGGTGTTGGGTCCAGATGTTCTGGTGTTGGGTCCAGATGTTCTGGTGTGGGTCCAGATGTTCTGGTGTTGGGTCCAAATGTTCTGGTGTTGGGTCCAGATGTTCTGGTGTTGGGTCCAGATGTTCTGGTGTGGGTCCAGATGTTCTGGTGTTGGGTCCAAATGTTCTGGTGTTGGGTCCAGATGTTCTGGTGTTGGGTCCAGATGTTCTGGTGTGGGTCCAGATGTTCTGGTGTTGGGTCCAAATGTTCTGGTGTTGGGTCCAGATGTTCTGGTGTTGGGTCCAGATGTTCTGGTGTGGGTCCAGATGTTCTGGTGTTGGGTCCAAATGTTCTGGTGTTGGGTCCAGATGTTCTGGTGTTGGGTCCAGATGTTCTGTGGTGGGTCCAGATGTTCTGGTGTTGGGTCCAAATGTTCTGGTGTTGGGTCCAGATGTTCTGGTGTTGGG